GTTTTACATTTCGTGTCATATATTCAAAGAGATCTTAGAATGCGTTCAATATTTACATGAATTGAATCCTCCGGTCATTCATAGAGACCTTAAACCTGACAATATATTAATTTCATCACAGCTTAGGAACGGGAGGTTTATAAAGATATGTGACTTTGGGTTGGCGTCACTACACTCCAGTTCCTCTAGTAGTCATACCACAGGAGTGGGAACTCGTCAATACATGGCACCGGAAGTTAAATTGCAAACCAAATACACACCAAAAGCTGATATTTATAGCCTGGCAATCATTGCACACAAATTGTTTAATTTGAATAATTTTAAGTAATTATTTTGATGTTTACTTTGACATAATTCATTAAAATGTGATAAAATTCTTGATTACAGTTCCCCGGAGTTAAGTATTTACTCGAGATATGAAATTTACGACAAATTCATAAAATTGGATCAAATCATAGACTCGATGTGTGTTCCCATTCATAGCACTCGACCCGAGTGTTCACAAGTATTATCGGAATATAACTTTTGGTCTATTCATGAGAATTGTCTCAAAATTAATCTTTTAATTGATTCCACACTAAAACTCTTTCTTCAAAATGACAACAAGTTTTTCATTCAATATTTTTATGCAAATTATCTTAAGCTTGAAAACTAAAGATTTTTCATGTTTTTAAATACGCTAGTGAATAACCATTGAAGCAATAATTAATAATGAATACTTTAAAAATAATGAAATTACTGTATGTTTTTAGTTTATTAAATGAACATCAGTTATTATAATTCATGTTTATCATATTTACGCATCTCATGTATTATTTGCAAAATGAAATGATCATAATAAATTATATGCGCTTATACGGTTTAACATGGCTTTGTGAATGACAATGTATATAAGATATTCTATGATATGGACGCGAATTCGCTGTACTTTTCAATGCATTTGCCTAATATTATTCCGGATCTCATGAATGGTGAGAATTTCATATAATTGGACACAAGATATCTGTTCGCAGATCGCTATCCAAATATTGTCACTTAATTACGACACAAATTGCCAGGATTACAATTGGGATGACATTGAATGAGGAGTCCTTCATAGCAAATATTGTTTAAAATATGTGAGTTGTGTTCCCATAGTCTGCAGAATATTCTTCAACACAAACCACAAGTATTTGGTCGACAACCGGAAGAACCCATGAATTCAATAGAGTTTTACATTTCGTGTCATATATTCAAAGAGATCTTAGAATGCGTTCAATATTTACATGAATTGAATCCTCCGGTCATT